AGATATGTGAGTTCTATTCAGTTGTGTATGTGTAAAGTCTTTGAAAATGTAATAAGTTTTACGAAACGCGCTCAAGTGTCGCGTCAGACTAGAAATAAAAATGAATTTTGGAGAATTGATTTTTGAATTACCTCCAACAGTGAAAAGAAATGTACGAAAGATTGAGAAAATTCGTGTTAGAATTATTAATCTTACTTTTTCGGTCATATTTAATAATATATGTCTACAGGAAAGACTGCTACCAAAATATATATATATATATATATATATATATATATATATATATATATATATATATATATATATATAATATATATATATATATATATATATATATATATATATATATATATATATATATATATATATATATATATATATATATATATATATATATATATATATATATTATATATATATATATATATATATATATATAAAAAAGTTTGTGAGGGTACCACCTCTGGTGCCAATGTGGGGACCCATAGCCTCGGAGAAGAAAATAAAAAGTATTCAGAGGAGACCTTGTGGTTTCTCACTGAACACTAATATTATCTTCTCCTACCACCCCCATTCTTTTGTATGTACACATATATATTTGCTTTATTTGAACTTTGTTACAAAAAAGGAGTTACATATAGGTTACAAAGATGGTTATCATAGGTTGTCGAGTTCCTCCAGCTCCTCAGATGGCGGGCAGGAACCCTGGATGCAGTGCGCATTTCCCCTCTGTATCGCCACGCTGAGGCGCTGGAAAAGAAAGCTGGCAGCTCTAGGGTCCCTTGTTGTTTCAATGAGCCTAGAACCCAGTTCCTTCAAAAAACTGGTAGCACTTTTACCCCAGGCGCCGAGTGTCTCAGAAGCAATGGGGACAAAATTGTAGTGGTGATCCAGTTCTCTATACTTACGGGATTTGGCTGCTTCCCTGTGGGTGGCAGCGCCACCTGGTTGTGCAACACTGAGGTTAATGTAGGTGTTAGCCAGGGTTGATACGCACGTGTAGTCCCATACCAACTGCTTGCCATTCTTCCAGGGGTTCACTGTGATACCATCCGGGCGACCAATAAGAGCATCAGAGTTACGGGGCGTTAGGTAACGGGGCTCTCTTTCAGCTGGGCATCCAGCTGTGGTGAGGCTCCTCTTGATGATGTCGTTAACTTCACTGTGCCTCGAGTGCCATCCCCCTGTGCTTTGGCAGAGTAGGCCATGGTGGCCGTACCTGTCAGCCACCACCTCGCCGCAAATACACCTATATCTGGTGTGGATTGGGGCAGCAAGGCGGAGGGCCACAGCAATTCGGAGGGCGTGTGGTGTGAGACGCGTGCCAGTTGCCGACATTGGGGTTGCTAACAGGAAATCCCCTGCATGTGGGGCTGCTACTGCTGTGAGGCGAGCAATGTCGTGTTGTGTTGTTGCAGCACCCAGGCACTCTGCAGCAACTTGGTCTACAATGGGGCCATCCCAGCTGGATTGCTTGTGGGCTTTTGGGGATGGTGGTTGAGGTGATGGGCCTGCACGAGAGGCCCACTCTGTGGCACAGCGTGTAAAATTGGGATCATGTACACCTGCCAGCTGATGTAAGTGGGCAGGTAGAATTTCCTTCACAAGGTCGTCGGATGCTGATAAGGAGGACAGGAAGGCTGGAACAGCGATTTGCGTTGCTGTTCGAACTCCGAGGCCCCCAAGTCTTACGGGAAGAGAGGCTTGTTTCCACTGTAGGTCATCTCAGTAACCGGTCATACTCACTTAGTTTTTGGCTGCTGTAAGATGGTGAACACCTCAGAAAGTAGGTTAACCTGGGGAGGGACAGACATCTGGTGATGAGGTAGAGTGCATCATGAGCATCAATATCCTCAATCCTCCCATATTTTCGGAGATCACAGCTTGTGATGCTCTTACGTCCAACAGATGGCGCTGTTTATCAAAAAAGCATGTTTTTACCTGACACAGGTGTGGCATCTATATATTAAGTACATAAAAAGACGCTCGTATTCGTATGCAACGTTATGTCAAAATTTCAAAGCAATCGGTAAAGGGGTTTCGAAGATTTCCCTCACATGAAAAATTCAGTTTTTTTTTTTTAAAGCATGTTTTTTCTCAACACAAAAGTGACATCTATATAATATGTATATAAAAGCCCGCTCGGATGCGAATGGAACGTTGTGTGAAAATTTCAAAGCAATCGGTGGAAAACTTTCGGAGATTAGCGATTTTGAACAAGTGAACATTTCCATTTTTATTCATATAGACTAGCTGTACCCGGCCACCTGGTGCTGTGGCTCAGCAAAGCTAGCGCGTCGCCGAGCCACAGCAACCCTTCCCTGTCAACCATCCTCCCCACCATTTGCCCCTTCTCCATCCACTCGTCCTCCCCACCACTGTTCCTCACTCCCCTGTCCCCTTGTACTCCCCACTATTCTCCACTCCCCCATCCCCTCGTCTCCATGATTCCGGACTCCCTCGTCCTCCCCACAGTTCTTCCCTCCATCATCCGCTTGTTCTTCCCCACCTTCCCCCACACCCCCATCCCCTCGTCCTCCCCCGTCCCCACTCCCCCTTCCCCTCGACCTCCCCACCATTCCCCACGCCCCCATCCCCTCATGCTCCCCACTCCCCCATCTTCTCATGCTCCCCACTCCCCCATCTCCTCATGCTCCCCACTCTCCCATCTCCTCATGCTCCCCACTCTCCCATCTCCTCATGCTCCCCACTCTCCCATCTCCTCATGCTTCCCACCATTACCTCATACGAAAAAAGAAGTTTAAAAAAAGCATGTTTTTACCTGTCACAGGTAAAAACCTATCATAGATGTCACATCTATATAGTAGGTATATAAAAACAAGTACGTATTCGAATGCAATGGTGTGTCAAAATTTCAAAGCGATCAATGAAAAACTTTAATCATTGAACTGGATATATATATATATATATATATTATATATATATATATATATATATATATATATATATATATATATGTCGTACCTAGTAGCCAGAACGCACTTTTTGGCCTACTATGCAGGCCCGATTTGCCTAATAAGCCAAGTTTTCCTGAATTAATATATTTTCTCATTTTTTTTCTTATGAAATGATAAAGCTACCCATTTCATTATGTATGAGGTCAATTTTTTTTTATTGGAGTTAAAATTAACGTAGATATATGACCGAACCTAACCACCCTACTTAACCTAACCTAACCTATCTTTATAGGTTAGGTTAGGTTAGGTAGCCGAAAAAGTTAGGTTAGGTTAGGTTAGGTAGGTTAGGTAGTCGAAAAAACATTAATTCATGAAAACTTGGCTTATTAGGCAAATCGGGCCTTGCATAATAGGCTGAGAAGTGCGTTCTGGCTACTAGGTACGACATATATATATATATATATATATATATATATATATATATATATATATATACACACCTATCCAACTATCCACCAAAATATCAGTCTATCTGCCAACTATAGGTCTATCCATTTTCCATCCGACTAATCGACTATCTATCTATACCACGATCAATCCATTGATTTATCCATCTCTGTCTGTCTGTGACTGTCTCGGCCTCTGTATGTCTATCTCTGTCTCTCTCTTATAAATACTATTATTGCCTAATGTGTGGGAGGTCGATGATCGCAGGCAGTGACCCAAGGTACACTCTGGGGGACCTGGTCACACCCAGGTACACTCCGGGGGACCTGGTCACACCCAGGTACACTCCGGGGGACCTGGGCACACCCAGGTACACTCCGGGGGACCTGGTCACACCCAGGTACACTCCGGGGGACCTGGTCACACCCAGGTACACTCCGGGGGACCTTGTTACACCCAGGTACACTCCGGGGGACCTGGTCACACCCAGGTACACTCCGGGGGACCTAGTCACACCCAGGCACACTCCGGGGGACCTGGTCACACCCAGGCACACTCTGGGGGACCTGGTCTCACCCAGGTACATTCCTGGGGACCAGGTCACACACCCAGGTATACTCCTGGGGACCTGGTCACATCCAAGTACACTCCTGGGGACCTGGTCACATCCAGGTACACTCCTGGGGACCTGGTCACACCCAGGTACACTCTTGGGTGCCTGGTCACACCCAGGTACACTCCGGGGGACGTGGTCACACCCAGGTACACTCCGGGGGACCTGGTCACACCCAGGTACACTCTAGGGGACCTGGTCACACCCAGGTACACTCTTGGGTACCTGGTCACACCCAGGTACACTCCGGGGGACCTGGTCACACCCAGGTACACTCCGGGGGACCTGGCCACACCCAGGTACACTCCAGGGGACCTGGTCACACCCAGGTACACTCCGGGGGACCTGGTCACACCCAGGTACACTCCGGGGGACCTGGTCACACCCAGGTACACTCCGGGGGACCTGGTCACACCCAGGTACACTCCGGGGGACCTGGCCACACCCAGGTACACTCCGGGGGACCTAGTCACACCCAGGTACACTCCGGGGGACCTGGTCACACCCAGGTACACTCCGGGGGACCTGGCCACACCCAGGTACACTCCGGGGGACCTAGTCACACCCAGGCACACTCCGGGGGACCTGGTCACACCCAGGTACACTCCGGGGGACCTAGTCACACCCAGGCACACTCCGGGGGACCTGGTCACACCCAGGTACACTCCGGGGGACCTGGCCACACCCAGCTACACTCCGGGGGACCTAGTCACACCCAGGCACACTCCGGGGGACCTGGTCACACCCAGGTACACTCCGGGGGACCTAGTCACACCCAGGTACACTCCGGGGGACCCACCCACATACAATAACGCCAAAGAGGCAGATGTGCTGTTGCCCAGTTGTGGGTAGTCTCTGTCTCCCGTTGTAGGTCTCCTCCCATGGGTTACGCTGGGTCATGTAACCTACAGCACTGCCAGGCATCATCTTGTTAGACTAAAATAATGACTACAAATACAGATACAACCTGATGATAACCTTACACGAATGCACGTATTCTAACATGACTCCTGACCTGGCAGGCCTTCATGCAGGCTGTGGAGTGTGTATGGCTCCCAGAGCAGGCTAAATAGTGTTCAATAGTCCTTGGTGTAGTAAACTACCTTATTATATCGACGAAAAACTGAAAGTTCCTTAATTTTTAAAGTGTGATTAACATTATCGATACCAGATGAAACAGTAGCTGGAACTGTGAAGCCTTGAGCGTAGAGACTCACCCAGGAGCGCGAGGAGAGCCAGTTCTTCAGGAAGGGAAGTTATAGCCGCAAGCCACGAGAAGTTATATTTGACGGTGGTGTCCTGAGGGAGGCGACCTGAAGATGGAGACACCGCTGGCCTTCACCTTCTGCTGCCTGCTGCTCCTCCCACCACAAG